CATCACAGAGGATCTAACGTATAAAACCTTTTCCTGCCAACATACTTGGAGATTTGAAGGAAAAGGTATGGTGGATGCTGTATCTTGGTTCACTTGACTTCTAACCCAACCTTCTTCTAACGTGCCTTACTGCAGAGGCTGGAAAGATGAAAATCGCATTTCCCAGCCTTCCTTGCAGCTAGATTTGCAGATGTCATTTGGAATGTTCCAATCAGATGCATTCACGCAAGGTATGAATTCGGAAATGAGCTAAGAAAGGAGAAGCAGGATTCGAGGCATACATTTTGTAGTGTGCCTTATAGCGGGAGGGGTGTGGTTCCAGCAGTTCTGCCAAGTCTTTCTGGTTTGATAGGCAGCCTCCTAATGATGGCAGGAGTGGCAGTAATTTTGGCAGCTCAGTAGTGCCTGGCACATAAATGCTTAATATGTATGGGCTGTTATTATAGTATTTAGCATTTACTGCAAATAATACTATAGGATGTCCATGTGCTATGGAGATAGTATCTAACAGATAAGGGAATGCTCAGTCTGACTTCCGATGTCATTCAGTCCTGAAGGAAATATTGTTTCCTGGTTTAATGTATATGACATTGGTGTTCCTTCATCTCTGTTATGTTCCTTTTTACAACTAGCTTATGTTCTCACAGCATACTGTGCTAAAAACTGGGTCTGTCAAATGCTTGGGAGAAAGTTAGCCTGCTGTCACTAAAGGTGAGCAATGTTCCTCTAGAACATCCCAGAAATTTCAAACATCTGATGAAAAATGACTATTAGAGTTAGAATGAACTGTGACCTTTAGTTGCATTGATAGTCTCCGCTTAAACTAAACAGGGGCTGTGTCTAAACTGGGAAGCCAAACAATGTTGCAATTTCCTCTACGAGGATAACTTTCTTGTAATAAGAATTTTTGATCAAAAAGCTAACGACAACGAAGGCATGCAGGAAGTGACTCTCTGCTCCTAATTCTCAAAATAATTTCTCCCTTCTGTGAACACATTTTTGGTACCTGTCAGTACATTTTCTATTTTTTAGCTTGTATTGTGGGTATTTATGTCCACGTCCGATCTGCCCAATATATGCAACTGTAAAACCGTTGAGGGCAGGGACACCCTCTGATTCATCTTCGGATCTTTTCAAAGCGCCTGCTTAGAAAGGTCCCGTATACAAAGGAGGTAGTCGATCTGTATTTAACAAAAGAATTAGTGAGTTCTTGTGCAGTCCTCAGTCGTGAGGTCACTAACACTTTGGAGAGAATGCTTACAAGGTGTTCCTATGCAATGAAATACTTTCATTCATTTTCCGGAAAAAAATGAAGGAGGAAAAAAATGAAGAGTGTCCAGGATGGGGAGGGTTGCATCACTGCTTCAGACAAGTGTTTTCTCCACCTCGCATAGGTGGTGCAAGTGGCGAAAAGAGGACTGCTTAGGAGGTAGGAGATCTAGCCTGCGATCACTCATAGGATGTATGATTATAGTCAAGATAATCATAGCTGGGACTCTGTGGGCCATGGTTCCACGCCCTCCCTCATAAAAGGGATTGATGAGGTGATGAACCATATTTCCTTCTCATCACATTTGTTTTGTAGTCACCATTCCAGAAGATTGAAGCTCTAATATTATGGTGACTTAAGATCTTAATCTGAAAACGACCTAAAGGTCAGAGAGGCCCAGCATAGCAATTCAGCATCATCTTCCTGCTGAACTATCAGTAGTAGCTTCCTGACTGTGTTGAGGGGAATTCTGAGGCCCTATTTGAGCTCAGTGGGAAAGAAAGCCTTGACTTAATAGTGATGTCTAGCATCAGGCAGGGAGGGGAGTGGCAGCTAATAAGCCAATATATGTCCTCCCCCGGTCTAGCCCAATGCCTTCACTTCACAGAAAGAAAATGAGAAGAGAAGCTCTTGTCTTGAGATTACCATGTGCCAGGCACCATGCATATTGCTTTTACATGCACGAATTTATTTGATCCTCAATCTTAAGAAGTTAGCATTATGATGATTCCCATTTTGCAGATAAGGTTTAAGGAAGCAAAATTTGCCTAGGTTCATATTCTAGAAATCCTTATATTTAAGCACTTCCCTATACTGCCTCCCAATCTGTGAGTACTTACTATGTGCTAGGCTAATAGCCAGGAGCGTTTTTGCCCTCAAAGGGACATTTGGCAACGTCTGGAGACTTTTTGATTGTGGGAAGGAGGCAGCCTCTGTTCCTTGACCTAGTGAGTGGAGGCCTGGATGTTGGTAACTGCACAGGGAGTCCCCGAGAACCAAGTATCTAGCCCAAAATGTCAATAGTGCTGAAACTAAGAATTCTGAGCCAGGCTATGTGAAAATCGTTTTCAGACCAACACTGAGACTCTTCCTGTAGCCCAGTAGGTGCAACTACTGTCTCCATTTTAGACAAGGACAGGTGCTCTGAAAATCAGGAAGTGGTCACCACAAGACAGGAACCCAGGTAGTCTGATTCTAGAGGCCTTTGGGGTCCCCCCTCCACCAAACTCCATTGTCATCAGCTGCCTTTACCATCAAAACATGTAATCTCTTTTAACACCTGTTTACGTATTACAAATTTCAGAAGCTAAGAACATTCAGCCAACTGGGAAAAATTCCCACCCTGGATGGATGTGTCTCCAAAGATAAAAAGTATCTGTTCAGCAGCTCAAAGGTCTTGAGAAACCCTTACTATAGAAACCATTGAGCTTTCTCCAGCAGACATTCAGATCCTTGCTTTAAAATAAAACTCTGAGGAGAAGGCTAATTTTAGGACATTAAGTTTTTTCAAGAATAATTAACTCTGCATGGGATTCAACATCAAGTTCTTTCCTTTTGTTTTTAGGAGCCGATGAGCCCGGAAGGTTAGTTAGGAGAAGAGGAAATGAAACTATGACAAGACACAGTACCATTCCTCTTTTACTTGGTGGCCAGGCACAATATGAATATGAGTAACTCTCTCATCCTGTCCAATTAACTCCCTCAAGTACAAAAAGAAGAAAATATATACACACTTGGTTATTTGGAAGAAACTGAAGAAAAAGCCAACACCGGGATACTAGTTTCAACAATAAAGAGCTATGCAAATAACTTCCTTTGGGATTTAAGGCTTGTCTGGCGCGGAAAAAACAATGCTAATGAAGCAGGGCGAGGGTGGAAGGCGAGAGAGGAAAAGAAAAAGAGAGGAATAAAAGAGCTTGAAAGAGGAGAGGGAGGAAAGAGCCGGGCTTACTTCCTCAGACAGGAATTACTGAGAAATGGAGGAAGCTCTGGGAAAACAGTCTGGGCTGCTCAGGCAGGCGGGGCTGGGCGAGGGTGCCTCCCCGAATTTGGAATGAGAGGTGCGGGCGCCTCCCAGACCCGTCCATCCCCCCGGCGTTCGTCGGTGCGGGGCGATGCTCTAAGAACGTCCGAGCCTTTCGATTTTAAACCTTCTCCAATCAGGTTCTCCGGGTGCCGACGCGGGCAGCATGACGGTGGCTTCTTTCTGCAGCTCGTCGGGATCCTCCCGCCCTCGCTCGCCGCCTGCCAGATCCAAAACAGACAGTCCCAGACATTCCGCGACGGATGGTTCCAGAAAGCGGGGAACTGACCGCGATGAATGAATTGTGAATAGCGCGGCTCCGGCAAGAGCCTCAGAAACCTTAATTGGGGGTCAGTTGAGAGCCCGGAAACGCGTCGAGCGCCGCAGGTGGCGGGTGGCACTGGAATTTAACATTCTGGAGCCCCTACTCTGTGCCAGGCACTGAACCTAGGGGGCCGCGCTTATTGTCCAGCTCGGTGAGGTAGTTAGATGGGTTTTCAGAGAGGAGAAATACATTGCATTTGCCCTTCCCTTTGCCTGGAACGCTCTTGCCAAGACTGGGGTGTGGCAGCTCCTTTCTCCAGTGCAGTAACCGGCCGAAAAGCCACCTCCGCCGAGAGGCCCTCAGGGCGCTTTGCAGCTCTTTATCACCCCCATCACCACTTTTGAAAGTTTAGCAATTACCCCAGTGCTCATAGTTTATCAGCATTTTCTCGTTTGTTTATATTTATGTTCTTTGTTTATGGTCTGTCTCCCCGCTTAAAATGTCATCTCCATGAGATCAGGAACCTGGTATGCCGTTATCACAGCTGCACGTCCACAACTGCTCCGGGAGCACTAGGTAGGCGCTCAGTAAATGTTAATTTCCTTCTCCCACAGCCAACTACGGCACCTGACTCATCTGCGGTCTCCAAACTGACCCCAGGTGATCAGTTGCTCGCATTCATGCTAGGATCAAAGGCGGCCCGAGGAGCGAGCAGGCAGTCAAGTCGGTTGGACCTTCCCGTCTATCAAGGAGCTCCCGCATTTTCATTGTTACTACGAGGCTTTCTCTCCCTTCCCCCTTGCTCACGAACTGCGTAGAACACAACCACCACACTCCCCTCAGGTCTTCTCCTGGGAACCCCTCAAGAATCTGCATCACTGCCTCTGGATGTCAGGGTCACAGTCCCGGGTCGGGGTCCCACGCCGATTCCGTGCTTCGTCATCCTGCGTCTGCAATCCTCCCTTCACCACCTATTTTCTCTGTTCTCCATCCCTCTGCCTCCGTCTCACTTCCTCAAGAGGTCGAGTTCTCTTTGCCTGTTCGACCACATGGCTCCCCTGGAACCTTGTCCTTAAACCAGCCCCTCCCGCTCCGCCCTCATTCTCTCTGCTTTCCTGGCTCGGAAACGCCATTCGACCAACAATTATGGAGCGCCCACGGCGCGCAGGCAGGGCGCTGGGCTGCTAGGAGCCTCTCCCCGGGCCCGGCCGCAGCTCTCAGTTCCCTCCACCCTCCCCACCTGCCGGGAACCAGGAGACCGAACTCCCCTGACTGCGTCATGGAATCCGCCCGCTTCTTCTAAGTACGTCGCCCCACCCCGTTCCCCGGGAACGACTCCTGATTGGTGGGGATGGGGGTCACTCTGCCGCCCCTCCCACCCTCCCCGTATGGTCCCCGCCCCTGGGCGGTGCAGGCTCCTCCTCCTCGCTCCCACCCCTCCCTCCCCTCCTCCGGCTGTTCGCCGGGCTGAGCGCGCGAAGTTCTGGGCAAAGTCCTGGGAACTGGCCACGCGGTCGCAGCGCGGGCGAGCAGAACCGGGGAGGGGACCGGAGCGTGTGGCGGCCAGTGCGCGGCGCGGGCCCCGGCCCCGGCCCCGCCGTCCGTCCGCGAGTGGCCGTCCCCGCCCCCGTCTCCTGCGGCTGGTGCGGGAACTGTCAGCTGCGCGTTGCAGGGGGACCGGAGAAGCCGGATTCGCCTCCTCCTGGGTCTGTGGACGAACCCCAGAGCCCGGCACCGGGGAAGTAGGCGGCATCGCCGGCGGCAGAGCGCGCAGGTAAGCGCCGGGACGCCCGCCGGAGTGGTGCTGGGGTGTGGCGGGGGCCCGGCGGCAGCGCGCGTTCGGAAGGGCTGCGGTTTCGGGGGGCGCCACCAGTCTCCGCAGGACCGGAGTCTGCCTCCTGTCGCCCGGGGAAGAACCGGCTGGTGGGGCAGCCCCGAGCCGGGGAGATCGCCCTCGGTGCGGGCGCCAGCCTCCCGGGAGGTAGGGCCCGAGTGCTGCCCACGCTAAAGCTCCGTCTTCAGAGGGACGGTTTGGCCGGGATTGACGGCGAGAAGGCGCCGAAGGATGCGGCGCCGAGGGGCTGCCCGGGGCAGCGGGGCCGGAGGCACAGGAAACCTGTTCACTTGGGCCGAGGGCGAGGGTTTACCACATCCGTGAGCTGGGGCGCGCCGGGAGGGACCCGGACGACGCTGGCCTCGCAGGCGCCCGGCTCCCCCGCCTCCCCTCCCTCGGTCGGCTCCGCTTCCCAGTGCGCCGGCTGGCGACTGAGGATGCTCGCCCCTTCGAGCTTCCCAGCGCCCTGGGAAGCGTTTGCAGCCTATAGTCACTGATGGGCATTGTTGTAGATCGTGCAGATACTTCTTGAGCCGGCACGCGCCGCCCTCCTTTGGTAATAGAACTTGCCAGCCGCCTTCTGCACACTTGTGCTGCCTTTGCTTCGTCTCACGGACTATCAGTCTCCTTAGTCGGGACTTTGAGCTGAGGGGCTGTGAAATTGTCGCTTTCGATGTGTCTGGGAACTGCGCTGAGGTGCATCTGAGGTTCCCTAGATGTTGCACTGATCCTCAGAGTTTGACTGCTCGGATGGGCGCATTTAGAAATATTTTAAGCTGCAGCTGCGAAAGAAATCCTTCCACAGACAGGTGAACGTGTAGGTCTGACTTCTGATCGTCCACACTCTACCCCAAGCATCATACAAGGTGAGGGCCCCCTTCTGGCCAAAGGAGACCAGGCAGGCAGGCCTGGACTGAAATGCACCCAAGCTAAAATGACCGTCCCTTCCACCAACTTGTTGGTCCATCACCCTGTTTGGTGTTCCTCATAGCATTCATCTCCGTGGAATTATCTCCTTGGGCTGTTTGCTATCTGCCTTCCTCCACTAGAACGGAAGTTCCAGAAAAGCAGAGACCTTATCTGTCTTGTTCATCACTCCATCTCCAATGTCAGCAACAGTGCCTAACACACAGTAGGTGTGCGAGAAATATTTATGGGATGAATAATGAATGGTGATTTCATAGCTGGTTTTGATTTTCATGTTTATTTATCCTTTTTTTCTATTGGGAAAATTAGCAAATACCAATAACTACTATTGATTGAGCACCTACAAAGAACTGGATTGTACTAGGAACTTTGTATAGATTACCTTATTAAACATTACAGTAGTCTTATTAGCTAGGTGTTTCTGAACAGATGGGAAATTGAGACTTCAGCAGGTTAGTCAGTTTTCCCAAGATTGTCCTGGCAGAACTAGAATTCCAGCTCATTTTCTCTCTATTGTGCTGGGCAGCTTCCAAGAAACTAAAATGTGGTTACCACCATTACAGCCAACAGACACTTAGCTTTATTTGTAACAAAAGCTATTACTTAGCTGAGAGAAGATTTGTTGTATCATTGTGGAGAGAGAGTTTCGATAATAGCTAATAGTTATGTTGTAGGCCAGGTACTATCAGGCTGCCATAGACTGTATTATCTCATTTAAACTTCCCTATCTTGAGGCAGTGTTCTGAGGTTGTCTCCACTGTGCAGATGAGAAAAACTGCAGCCTGGCTTCAGGAGCTTGCCCAGGGTCAGTAGTGAATTGCTCAGCTGGATTTCGTTAATAGTCTCTCTCTTACTAAATCTTTAGCTCCTTCTACTACACTGAAATCTCTCTTGCTCCCACTATTTAATTAGATGTGGACTCATAGTCTAATGATACAGTATATTAAAACCATCTGAGACTGGGCTCTAAACTTTCCACTGCCAATGTCAAGTGTCTAGTTGTATTATTTTCTGAATTGATGAGACTCTTACTGGCATTGATTTTTGTGGTTGAGGTTACAGTTTGTGGGCCTGGTAGACAGGAGACTTCTAATATAGGAGGAAAGGAAATTCTCCTTTCACCTAAATTTAACTTTGCTTTCACCTAAATTTAAAGAGAAATCCAATGGGCTTTACCCATTGTGGTAAATAGACTCTGAACACAGTAATGCTTTATGCCTCTTAAGGAAAGTACTGGAAAGTCAGCTAGTTTCTCTGTTCCCATATGTAGAATGGAGAGTTAGAAGCCACTACTCATTCCAGAAGCTTCTGCAACAACCTTTTAGTAAAGTCACTACATTCCAACTCTTTGTGCTGTTGCAGTGAAGTCGAGAGCAAGAAGTAGTTCTGTAAGAGTGTCGTGGTTACCACCTAAAGGGCTAGTGCAAGATAGGGTGTAGGAAGGAATTAGAGATCCCCTTTTGTTTTCTACTTCCATTCCAGTTTTAGGGGGTAGTGTAATGTTTTTCCTTGCAAGAGGATCTGGATAATCGACAGCTTGATTTATAATGGGCCTCTTGGCAGTACTATGTTTCTTAATTGTTAATTCCACTTCAGGAGTACTCCAGGGAGGGTTAGAGAACCGTCCAAGCTAGAATGACCACAGAAGAGATGGGAGTGTGGGACACTAAGGAAGATGGAAGCTTTTAAGTTGATGGACCTTCCATGCATAATTGAGAATTGTTTATAGTTCCCTGTGAATCCCCTTCCTGTCTACATCTTATTTATCAGCTTTTTAGCCCTCTCCTCTGGAAACTTCCTTCTCCTTTCTAATCACCCCTTTTGAGACCGTGTTTATGCTCACCCCAACTCTTGTCTCCTCCTCGGTGTCCTTCACATTGATCTCTTCACGTTGATCCCAACCACACTGATGGTTGTCCCTGCACCATCTTAGTTTAGGGTCTTAGGAACTTCTGCACTCTGTCCTAACGTTGCTTACAGGAGGATTTTCCTCCCTCAGTCTCTCCTTCATATCACAGTCGGGTAAATTCTGAGTCCTGTCATTATATTGCTAAAAATTCTTGAGTGGCTTATATAGTTAATAATAATAATAATATTAATAACAGCTGCTGAACTTCTTGTGCCAGGCACTGTCATAAGGGCTGTCCACGAATCACTGTGTTTAATCCTCAGAGCAACACCAAAGCAGGCACTGGTATTATACCCCCAATTTCCAGATGAGGCCAGGAAAAATTAAGTTCACAACTACTTTACAGCTCATACAAGGTGGAGCTGAGACTGACACTCTGGGTCCTTTCTCTCCTCCTTTGTATGGAGACTCCTTAGCCTGAAGTCAGGATCCAGCAGCCTGGGCTCAGTGGCCGCCTTCACCCCACCGCTCCCCAACCCTGTGCATTGGCAGCCTGAACTTGATTCAGCGACAGAGTGTTTTGCCTTTGCCTGTACACTCCTGTTGCCTAGAAAGCTCTTATTGTCTCTCCCTGTGAAACCCCAAGTCTTTCAAGGCTGAACTCATAAGCCACTTCTGTCAGAAGAATCTCTCTGAACCCAATCCACAGCATTTTCTTAGAAAAGTGGGAGTCCCCAGTTCAATTTCTGACCATTGAGTATGGTGGTTTCTTTCTTTCCTTCAGTACTTTGTACCTTTCATATCCCCCACCCCCCATTTCCCCACCCTGCTGCCTCCTGGTCTGGTTATTTATTCAGATGTATTGCATTGCCTCTCTTATCGGGTTGTAAATGCCTTGAAGGCAGGCCTAGTATGCATTCCTCACGTTTCTGTTCCTCACATCCCTAAGCATGGTATCCTATCCACAGGAGGTGCTCAATTAAAAAGAGAACATGAAACAGTTATATTTGGTTATGTTCTTTTAGAATATTCTGTGAAAAAAATAATTGGAATGTGGCATTTGGTTTCCTATTTTTGACCCACAATACTGTGATGCCTTCATTAATTTATGATGAAGCAGTAGAAATCCTAGTTATTTAAATTCACAGAAAGTGCCTATTCTGGTTGTTTTCACTTTGGAGATGTTGCAAGGAGATCTCAAACCCATACACAAAACAAACATTGTCTGTAAAATAAGTATCTTGCATTTTATATGCACTATTTTTTCATATATATGGAAATGTTATTAAAGCTGTTACGGAATTTAAATTTTTGTCAATATTTTATTGATCAGTGAATATTTCTAATTTTTAACCTGGTTTGCTAGATGCCCTGTGAACCAGCTCCCGCTCATGGCTCCTCACTCATTACTTAGCTCTGTGTCTTCCAGTCACGTTGAACTAAATTCAGCACTCCGCCAGTGTCCCAGGGCCACGCATGCTGTGCTCTGGCCTCATAATCTTTTCCTCCTCACCCGTAGTCACCTGGCTAATTCCCACTCATCCATCACGCTTCAGCATGGACGTCACTTGGAAGCCTTTCTCTGCCCCCTCCAAGTTGAAGTTGGAGAACACTCTGTGCCTGTTCATTTTATAGGGAGCAGTTATCATACTGTTTTGTGACTGTTGGTCACTTGACTGAATCTTCCCTGAAACCATGGACTCTCATTTGACTTACATGAGTATCCCTCAGGGATCTTTTAAAACTTTTCCCTACCTCGGCCCTACTCCCAGAGTTTCTGGGTCAGGTGGCTTGGGTTAAGGAGGGTTGGTCACTGGAATTTTTTTTTAAAGGAGTTTTCTTATTCTGTGTTATAGCTGTATAGCATTCCATTGTGTGAATGTAACATACTTTATTCAGTTTCTTCTTTTTTTTAATTGAGATATAATTTACATTTCATACAATTCACCCATTTAAAGTATACAGTTCAGTGGTTTTTAGTATATTCATAGTTGTGCAATCATCACCATAATTAATTTTAGAACATTTTATCACCCCTGAAAGAAATCCTCACCCATTAGCAGTCTCCCCCCTCACCCTGCAACCACTAATCTACTTTACATCTGTATAGATTTGCCTATTGTGGACAGTTCATGTAAATGGAATCATACAATATGTGTTCTTT